TCCTTCGTGATGTGACTACTTTAATAGTGAAATCAACCTAAGTGTTATTTATATTGTTTTGCAACTGGCCCAGTAGGTAAAATATATTTATTGAGGCTGGATTAGGGATACTGTTACATTGCCACATACAAATAATTTCAAACGTGTGATCGGCCAAGTAGACAAAAGTAACGACTGTTAGTATAGACCTTTCTCTCCAGTGCACTTTATGCAATGAACAGATATAAGACTGAGATGAGTATTATGATATTTTAACAACTGAATTTGAAATATCGAAGCAATATCAAGTTTTCTATGTACACAGTAAAAGCTGAAGCTGGAAAGTCTAAAAAAGTTCCTTCATTATGAAACTGAATTGTAAAGCACAATAGACCACTGTAGGTTGTGGTGCAAGGGCTGAGAAGGCCCACCCCTTATGTAAGATGAAATGTGAAGAGAACAAAGAATGGAGAAAGCAGTCTTCTGGGATTTGGCACCGTGTACATGGTGTGTTCAAAAAGTATCGAGGCTTCTTTTTTCCCCGCATAAACCAATGAAGCGCGGGAGGCTCCCTTTGGCTGAGATGTGGAGGGGACATTCGTGCGCAGTCGTGAATTTTTTCCCGCCCGCAGAAAGCGTCAGTCGCTGGCAGTTGGCCTATGAGTGAGGACGTGTAATGAGCCCTCGTTGGATTCCAGTGAGGTGTAACATGACGGAACAACATGAGCAGCGATATTGCATCAGATTTTGCCAAAAGTTTGGCGATACCCAAGTTGAAACCATTCGCAAGATTCAACAGGCTTTCGGAGACGATGCCATGAGCAACGCACGGATAAAGGAGTGGTACAACCGCTTCAAAAATGGCTGCACATCAGTGGACAGCGAACCGTGTTCAGGCAGACACTCAACAAGTCGAAATGAGAATGTCATTGAGCAAGTGCGGACTTTGGTCATGGAGGACCGTTGTATCACATTCCGAGAACTTGCGAACGAGGTAGGGGTAAGCATTGGATTGGTACATTCAATTTTGACCGAGGATTTGGGCATGAGGAGAGTGTCCACGAAGTTCATACCGAAACTGCACATCTGATTCAGACTTTTGTCGCCAAACACAACAGCCCTGTGATTCATCAGGCTGCCTATTCCCCCGACATGGCTCCGTGTGACTTTTGGCTATTTCCCAAGCTGAAAATGCCACTGAAAGGAACCCGATTTGAGTCAAGAGCAGACATCATGTGGAATGCGACGACCCGGCTGATCACCATTCCAAAAGACGCGTTTCAGAAGTGTTTCCAACAATGGTGGAAGCGCTGGGAGAAGTGTGCGCATTACCAAGGAGACTACTTTGAAGGGGATTAGGGTTTTGTACCTCCAAATCAATAAATGTATTTCTNACAAAACCCTGCTTTTCCCAGCTCCTCCCCCCCCACTCCACTGATTTCAGTTGTAGACTTGCCCTTCCCCCCTTCCTTCACTACTCTCACACAGCTATGTATATTTCCAACACCAGTCTGCTTTCACCGGTTCTCACAGTCTCTTCGCTTGTGGATTTCTTATATTTTTCCTTCTACCCTGAAGATGGAGGCGATACGTTCCTCCGAAACGTCGATTAACACCACATATACACGGTGCCAAATCCAAGAAGACTGCTTTCTTCATAGTCACCACCGTGAAAACCTCAGATCTTAAGAACAAAGAATGTTGTAGATGTTCATTTAAAATTTAGTGAAGGAATTGGTCTAGAATTGTATTTGGATAAAAAGGAATGTATGCATGTAAGAAATCCATAACCTAAAACAGTGCTAATGTAAATATAGACAGTAAAAACTTGAAAATTTTTAATTGTTGAAATGCCCAGGACAGTAACACAAAGCTCAATGTGAAATTAAGGAAATATGAATTGATGAAATTGTTCTTATTCTTTTTTCTCTTCAATTAAAAAACTTCATATATCTACTTTCTGAACAGGAATGAGTTATAATTTATAATAAAAGTCATTCTACCATTGTCACGTAAAGATTATGAAATATTTTTTGTTTTGTGCAATTTGCAAGACATAAATTCCGTTCCCCAAAATGTGTCACTGCCTTTGTCCTCTGTAAACAAGACTGTGAATCTTGCTGGAAAGAGCTTGGTTCATTTATACAATACATAAAATCTTTTGGTTGGCTTTAAAAATTTGTTTCAATGATGTAAAGGAAAATTTTTACTGTATTTAACTACCTGTCTAGTATAGTGATTGAAAATCAGTCAGATACATTTCTGCTTAGTCTGTGTGGCCTGCAGGAATATCCATTTCTGAACTTGAGCATAAATCAGTGTGGGCTTCTTCAAGCCTTTACCAAAATAGCAATACCCAAACATAATAGGCTTTATCTTAAAGATGTATTCCATATTATATTTAAGCATCCTGTTGCACTCTATACGATAAATGATATAAACTCCGTCTCAAGTGCAAACAATATATTTTGTGTCTTTGATCTTGCTTCCCCACACTACATGTTTCGGCCTCAGACGGCCATCATCAGGTGTATAACACT